AAAAAAAAAAAAAAAAAAAAAAAAAAAGACAAAAAAAACCTGTGTATAGTGACTTGATTAATAATTGCCAAAATCCACAAAGAATTCAAATTCCTATCAATTGTACTACTTTCCCAGGAATGCTATTCACAGGCGAAAGAACCAGCATAACTGAAACTCAAGTGCATAATGCTAAGTCAAAGACAGCAGACTTGAAAAGTGACCACGCATCCCATATGGTTCCATTTACATGACACTCTGGGAAAGGAAAAGGATACAAACAGAAGAACAGCAGATCAGTAACTTGTCACGAGTGGGGGAGGCGAGGAGGCCGACCACCAAAGGTCACAGAGAATATAAGAGGTGACAGAAATGTTCTACATCACAATGGTGACTGTGGCATTAGTTACAAGTGGATGCCACTGACAAAATCCATACAGCTGTACTAAAAAAAGTAAATTTTATTATATGTACTTTGCACCTGTTTTTTTTGAAAGCTGAATATTTAATATGAAACCTGACTACTGTCATTATATTTCATTCTAGGGAAGCCCAAGTCCAAGACAAGTGATTGATATTTTCAAACACCACTTCTTTTCTGAGTTTGAGTAACACCACACAGCCATCCAGCACACAGGAAAATAGAAATACGGACACAGACGATCTTTAGACCAATAAAATCAACAGTTGTTATGAAGTTAAGATGTGTGCTTAATATTAAATTGTCTGTAAGAGAAAGTTCTGGCTATTATTTACCGTACAGTAAAATAAGTGTCATGAGAACTTGTTCAAGCCACAGAAAGAAAGCTGTGTGATCTTATGGCAATGAAACTGGATTTCTAGACACTGTGAACTGGGGGAAGGGGAAAGCAGATTTTGTCTCAGATGATACACAATGATCACTTACCTGTTATGAGGACAGATGCTGTGTATTTATATTTATTGAATTCCAAATACTCCCGAATTAATTCATTGATTAAAAGGTTTTCATGTGACAGTGATGGTCGAGGTTCACGATCATCGTCCAGGGCATTGAATACTTCGGCTCGGATCCTTGCTTTTAAATGCCCTAGTACCCCCTTCTTTTCCAAGGTGTCCTTTAAAACTGTTAGAAAATATTAATACTTCAGGTATATAGCAAAACAACCTGTGGGAACCACAACTCTAACAGAATAACCCATTCTAAATGTTTTGTTTTCTGTTTTTTTAAATTTTTTAAAAATATGATAAATTAACTCTTCAAAATAGCAGGATCTTTATTTTGGGGGAGTCTGAGACAGGGTGTTGCTATGTAGTTCAGGGTAGCCTTGACCACACCAAGTTGCCCAGGTTGACCTTGAACTCGAGGCCATTCTCCTGCCTCAGCCTCCCAAGCACTGGAGTTATAAATGTGCTATGTTTGGCAGGATCTTGACATTGTTAAGTCTCATTAGAAATCTAACACAGGACCATGTAACAGCTAACTTAAAGAGTCATGGATGCAGTGTACACACTGAATGTAACCTAACTTCACAAGCAGGGTCACCTCGACAATCAGGGATAATGGGACTCAGCTGTACTTAGTGTGAATCATGAGGCACTTGGAGCTGAATTGGCGCCATCCATTGCAGTGGCCTGGAATCTTTTTTAGTCCTTAATGGCTAAATGACAATGTCAGAAAACACATGCCATCCACGGTGCCTATAATACACCAAAAACTCAACAGAGCACTGCAATGCAATCACAAAAAATCACAGTGTGTCCATGGAGGCACGGACATCAACCTGCTCTGACAATAATAAGATTCCTTGGACATATGATGAAAGGAATGCAATCTTTACTAGACATTTCACCGTTTCTTTCTGCTTATTGTTAAATCATTCTTTCAACCTTTTGCAGAGATGATAAGTACAGTTACCAACCAATCAGACTCTGAAACGGGCCCATAAAAGGAGAGCAAAGCCTTGTCATACTCAGGATCATAAGCAAAGCCACATTCTCTATCTTTGGAACTCAGATGGACTGAAATTTTCCATCACTCTGTAGTACACACAGGACAGCCTCACACTCAGCTAATAAATGAGAATTCATGAAGCTGGAATTAGGAAGTCCGGCATGTAAACCATGCCTCAGCTGCCTTCTCCAGGGTAGTTCTACCTCTCAAATACAGGACCAGCTTAGTCATAAAACGTGAAAGTGCTTTAAAAAGGTAAAGGCTCAAAAAATGTAAGATAACTGGTTACCAAGCAAGTTTTCATTGAGTTTCTTATGGACATAAAGCATTTGGAGAGCTGGGGAATACAGGGGGAAAATATATATATGCCTCCTAAGTCTGTGCAGAGCATCTCTAAACTCCAGAAGGTACCAAGCAAGTTTTCATTGAGTTTCTTATGGACATAAAGCATTTGGAGAGCTGGGGAATACAGGCCTCCTAAGTCTGTGCAGAGCATCTCTAAACTCCAGAAGTGATGCCACCTTGTATCATTTCAACTCTTATTATTGTCGCACTTGAACATTATACCATACAAACTTCTTTAGAAACACATCTTAACTGGCTAATCTCTGACAGAGTATCTTAAACCTTCTCAAATTGTATGCAATAGTATATGTTAAGTGTATTTTCCTGAGAGAGTCCAATGATTTCAGGTGAAGTCTGATCTTGTGGACAGAGGCATGCCTGTCCCGTGACTGTTTACCAGTGTCCAAAATATGCATTTATATCAATGGTTACTGAATCTTCTTCTCAAAGACATTCAATTATTTTCTCTCCGAATCTCTAATTACTTGCTCAGACCCTAAGGACTCAGAAACCAGACTTGACTGGGCAATTACTGTTTAGCAGTGAAGACCTGAGGTCTGGCGCATCATATCTGGGTTCCCACACTCTGCTTCTTTCTAGTTCAGTGCTTTGGATGTGGATCGCACCTCTTGGCACCTCAGTTTCCCAGTCCACAAAATGGGGACTGGGCTGTTATGTGCAATCAACTAGATGATACATGGGTTGTGAAGCGCCTGACACTAATAACTATAATTACTATCCCTTGACTGGCAGTTTGTTTCAAAGTTAAGGTATACAAATATTTTTAGCCACTTCGACATAACTACTTATCTTTGGGGAAATTTTCCGAAAAGTGAGAACGCCCATGACAGGGAACTCTGCCTGTAGTTTCTCCCAAAGGACAAACAGGGTCTAACTTACTTCACGGGCCATTGTATGGATCCAACAAACCAGGCAGCCAATGGTTCCGGACTGGGCCTAACACCAACCAGACTTGTGGAACTGATATCGTCACCAGAGCCCGGGCGGAGCGTCCCTAACTCGCCTGCGACCTCAGGGCTCTGGAACGCTGAGGCAGAAAGATTAAGTTCATGTCCTGTCCGGACAACCTAGAGAGACCCTGTCTCCAAATTAAAGTGCTGGGGGTGTAGCCGACTGCGAAGGCCCTGGGTTCAATCTCCCAGTATCAAAACGAAGCAGTCCCTAGACAACCGCTGCGGCTGTGACACCTGCCAGACGCTCCCCGCAGGCAATAATACCTGCAAAGGCCGACCCAGCGCTCTGCGCTTTTCTCCTTGGGTCCCCTGTTTTACAAACACAAAATCCGAAGCTTCCCACCCCTCTGGTACTCACCAGCCTTTAGCTCGGTGACAGTCGCCATGTTTAACGGTCGCCGGGGGCGCGCCTTGGCCATGCGCACGCGCAGTTCCGCCCCGCTCTGGCGTAGTCTAGAGCCAATGGGGGCACAGATCTCGGCCTGCCCGATCCCACCTCTCTCAATTTATACTTTCTGCGTTTGGGTGAAAGGGGACTAGTCACGGAGGGGCCACCAATCAGCGACCAGAGTAGGCGGGACCTCCCGAAGTCGGAGAGAGGAGAAATATAAACAGAAGACGATTCGAAACCTTTTAAATCTGGGTGCAGGTGGCACCGTAGAGCCTCATAATATCTTGCTGAGCCTTTCGACATCTGCCATCTGCTCGGCCCAGCAGCTTCAGGGATGTTAGCCCGTGAATTTCAAACTAGAGCAGGCATCAATATCTTGTTAAAATAGATTGCTGAACGTCTTCGTAAAATTGATCGCTGAATCGTACCCTTGGAGTTTCTGCTTCGGCAAATCTGAGGTGAGGACGGAGGATTTGCATTTCTATCCATTTCCCAGGCTGGTGCCGATGCTGTTAGAATGGAGGATTGCCGTACTAAGCACCTACTATGAACCTGACACTACCAAATCCTTTACACTTCTTAGCTCAATAATTGCCCTATGATTATGCCCTTTTTACAGAAGCAGACACTGAGTCTTCCGTAGCTGAAAAGACTTCACCAAAATCAGTCACAGATAATGGAGGTGATATCTGAATCCACGGGCTTTCTCTTCAAAGCTTGTTCTCTTCCACTAGCGTTTAATACTAGTCAGTACACATGTGGAGTCCAAAAGGTATTTTTGGAAATAATTAGTGAACAAAAAAGCTCTAGCATCGAATAAACGAAGAAAAAGGAACATGGTGCCTGGCGTGGAGGCACACTTATGATTCCAGTACTTGGGAGGCTGAGAGAGAAGGACCGCTAGACCCAAGGCAGCCTGGACTACATAGGGAGTTCAAGACTAGCCTGGTCTTCATAGTACTGCTAAGACATTGTTTCAAAAACACGCCCCCCACAAAGACCATAGGAATAATGTGCCCAAACTGAGTGTAAAATTGTAATGACAGGAAAGTTGAAAGATGTGGTTAAATAAGAGAGATCCTGACCCAGATTCTAGAACTGTGCCCTTTAAAATGCTGGTCAATCCAATAGTTGGAATCCATTTTTCAGTGGCTCCAGTGAGCATATGTTCAACGAAATATAATGTAATGATGAGAAAAACACAGAACATGGTTTTAGAAATATGTGTTCTTGCTCCCCGGGGTATTTCTGAAAGTGGGTAGCTGTCCAAAAACAATTTGAAAGGTATCATAATCTGGAGAAATCAATTCCCCTTCCAAGTTAGATTGATCTTTTTGACCCTGTGGGACACAGATTCATCCTGTAACCCATTTGGTCAAACTTCCCTATTCTGTGAAACTGCAGGGTCTCAATGCCTGGTCAGCTTCTCAGAATTATGTGTATTAACTAAATTCCCTAAGAGGAATGTTTGAACTCTTTGGAGAGCAGCAGCATTCTTGGACACAGGAATGCAGAGAGGCAAGGAATGCTACAATTGATTAGTAGCAATGGTCAGACCATACCTAACGTCCATTGCCAATTTATGGCAGGTCCCGTGCTGAAGCTTTACATTAAGTACTCATCAAACAAAACCTTATGAGGTAGATACTCATGCGTCCATAGTTTTTTGTTTGTTTGTTTTGTTTTGTTTTGTTTGAGACAGGGTTTCACTATGTAATTGTCCCTTGTACAAGGGACACAGATACCTCTGAAAAGACAAACAAAACTTGCCCCAGGAAGGAGGTCTATCTAGGTGACTAGGGATGACCTTACTTTTGTTCCTAGATCTAGTGTGATTAATACTTTATTTTACACAGGGGGTTAAACCCAGGGACCCTCTCCCACTTAGCCACATTACGTTCCTAACCCTTTTTTCAGTCTTATTTTGAGGCATGATCTTGCTCAGTCTCCAAGTTGCCTATACTGGGCTCAAACTTTGGATCCTTCTGCCTCAGCCTCCCAGAGTTCTGGGATTACAGGGATGCACACCAGACTTTAATTTAAAAATTTAACTACGCGCCCGCGTAACCTGCTGTGTGCACGTACAGCCCAACAGCGCCTCCTCTCGGCTTCCTTGAGCATTGCTTACTGTCCTGGGGCCCAGCTGGCTGCCTGTGGGCGTCCTCTCTGCCGTGGGAACGCACACATTTCTGGAGATAGGAGGGAGCGGTGAGTGGTGGGAGCCGGTGGATGGCTCAGGAACATTTCCACGACCACTCTACACAGTCCCGAGAGGGGATCCAATGAGACTGAGCCCCGCTGCTCAGCGTGTCCCGCAGCTCACACCCTCACCGCTTCCCCACGTCGCTCTTCCCAGCTCCCCCACTCCAGCTTCCTGGGGGTTTCCTCAAAACAAAGACTTACGTGTAAGCCCCGATCTCAGGTTCTGCTTTTTGGGTTGAACCAAGCTAGGACACTTGCTGTAACATATAGTCGTCGCTCTGTATCCACTGGATGTTCGACTCCCTCTTCCTGGGGGTTTCCTCAAAACAAAGACTTACGTGTAAGCCCCGATCTCAGGTTCTGCTTTTTGGGTTGAACCAAGCTAGGACACTTGCTGTAATATATAGTCGTCGCTCTGTATCCACTGGACGTTCGACTCCCCCCAAAAACTCTACGCACATCCTCCTGCTTTCAATCCTTTCCAAATGACTTGTAATACTTCATACAACGTAAATGTTATGTAAATAGTTCTTATACTATGTCGTGCATGGAAAAACGGTAAGAAAAAGCCTGTGCATGTTCAATGCAGGCCCTCTTGGGCACTCTTTTGAATACGCTGGTATAGAACTGGCACATAAGAGGGTGTCTCCATAACAATAAACAAATACTTTCTTTTTGGTGGTGGTAGTGATTCTAGGGACCAAGCCCACGAGCACTTTACCCTAGCTACATCTTCAGCCTGATCAATTCGATTGATTGATTGACTGATTGATTACAGGGATGGGGATTGAGCCTAGGACCCTCACACTGAACTACATCCCAGCCCTTTTTAAATTTTTTTGTTTTGAGACAAGTTCTCAAATGTAGGACCCTGCTCCCCGAGGCACACAAAGTGCTAGAATTAAAGATGTGTGCCCTGATCTGCTAAGGAGCACCTTTGAGGCGTGTTGGGTCTGTGCCCACCTGGGGCAGGGGATGAGCTTGTTCACATTCACAGCTCTCCTGTGATTTCCCATTACTGTGATTATGAGCTTAGCTTCTTAACAAAGATCAGAACACTGATCTCAGGTGGAAGAAAGGCCCATGAACTTCCTGGAACCTGAATTCATGAGCTCTTTGGATGACAAAACTGGAGCTTTATTGTCTGGGACTCACTTTGGGTTTTACTGTCATGTAATGAGCTAAGTGGATGCAGATATATGTAACTGTGAGTACAAAGAGCATTCCAGAGAGGGAGAAAAGGCCACATACAGAAGGGGTGTGAAATCAACATCTACTCAAATGACAGGGCCTTAGTGTGATGTTGGCAAATGGAATTGAATCCTGCTTCTGTAAATAAAGTCTCATTAGAACACAGCCAAGCTCTTTTATTATGTGCTATGTGTGGCTGTTTCCACACAATGAAACAGTTGAGAAAGTTGCAACGAAGCTCAAGAACATTTTTTTTCCTCCCTAGAACTGGGGATTAAACCCCAGAGCCTTCAGACAGAGCTACATCCCCAGTCCCTTTATTTATTTATTTATTTATTTATTTATTTATTTATTTATTTATTTTTGATTTTTTTGAGACAGAGTCTCACTATGTAGTTGAGTCTGACCTGGAACTCACTGTGTAGCCCAGGCTGGTCTTGAACTCACAGTGATCCTCCTGCTTCAGCCTCCCC